ACTAGGACAGCCGAGTTACTTTTGTAGGTGATACTAGTATTGATGAATATAATTAGTTTGGATATCTTTAGGTAGTGGGCGAGGCACTTTAAACTCACAAACTAGGACCGAGACCCGATACTCGCAAGGGGTGGGTTAATTGAGGGTGTTGTGTCTGATGTAGATTTTTGGGCCTCGTTCTCGAAAGACTAGAGGGGTGCGTGAGCTCCGAGATGCAGAACCCTTAGCCGCACCATGATGTCAACAATAGAGTAGAGAGTGGGTATACAAATATACTCACTGATGCGTTGGACTTGATAGTTGAACATTTATTGAACAATTTTAGTATGATTTAGTTGTTAGTGTGATACTCTACTAGTAAGCTCAGCGTTTGGAATTTGTTTCCTTATGCAGATTAGTAGGTGGAGCATTTGAGGAGCTTTTTGAGCAGCCGAGATCCAAACCGAGTTCAAAGCAAAGTACGTATCAAGTATTTCATTAGAGGGCATGTATATTTATAGACCATGTTTGTATATTTGATTCGTAACTTATTTGAAAAATTGGTCTGTATATTTTTTATATTCTTATTTTAGGAGCTCTCGATGTAAGTACTTTATTTATACTTTTTGGATGAACTTCTTTATTGAAATGGTTTTAAAATAGTCATATTTAATCAAGAAATTAAAGAAAATTTTGGTTTTAGCCACACCAGTGGTTCTGTGTGATATTCTAATCGGTCGACTGTACGGAAACAGTGTTGTTCATATTAATTTGGAGCATACCTGGACTCAAACCAAGCGGTCTGACAATGAGCAGGCCCAAGAAGATATTGTATTAGCAGCGGATATGAAGAAAGACCCAAGATATAATGGAGATAAGAAATTAGATTGTGGCAAGCAATCCAAGAGTAAGCCCAACGTCAAGAACCAAATACCAGCTAGACAAAGTTGTTATAGACGAATAAAAAAAAAGAATATTTCTTATACAAAAATAAAAAATGCTAGTAGCTATATATGTTTTTCCAACAGATGCAAATAATTTTTTTATGCCATTAATGAATGAAGTCATGAATTCCTTGTACTCATCTTCTACATTTTTAAATCTCCTCAAATTTTTAAAGTTTTGCATTCTTCATATTCCAATTGTGACAATTTAATAATCAGAGCAGGTCAAGAGTTCAACTTACCAAGCTGGAAAGATTAAAGAAGGTTTAATCAATAGAGACAACACGAATCTAGTTGTTATCCAAGAACAAATGAATGGAATACAAAACAAGCTAGAGAAGAAAAAAAGGAAATTAAGGGGAAAATCATCAACATTGAATCCAAGATTAAAGAAGGTTTAATCAATAGAGTTCAACAATGAATGGAACAAATATAGATTTTTTTTTTTGATATTGCTAGTAGGGAAGAAAAAGGAACCAAAAAAAAGGAGAAGGTCAGATATCTCCTATTATTCAACCTAACTAGACAAGAAAATAACCCACACAAGTCACTATCATCCATGAAAATGAAAGGCATTTCTTTAAATCTAAAGAACATGGCGTTTTGACTTCAAAACCAATTTATTTTCAAAATTAGACTAAAATAGTGAATCAACCTACAACAAAGATGGATGCAAGTACTAGTGAACTTGATTGCAAATATGAATCATTAATAAGTGAAACATCAATAAGTGTCGTGTAAACCCCTAGACCCAGCCTATACGATACGATCAGATTTAATGGATTATAATAAAAATTTATGATACTTCTTTCATCACTTTAAGATCATTGACATCTTGAAAACATAATGAAAAACATAAGGTTGAATCGATTAAATTAACTTAAGATATAAACCACCACGAATAAATTATAAAAAATTCAAATCAAGTAATTTTAAAAAGAAAATATAGCGAGTAAAACCAAATATCTTATAACAGTTCACAAAATAAAACTTTACATCGATATTAACATAAAGTAAGTCATAAAACCAAAATATCAAATATTTAGGCACATGTCACCAATTATAGGAGCAGTTCGAAAGATAAAAACATGAAAACAAAATATATTGCATGAAATTTATCGATTCTCCAAGTGTCTGGTCGTAGTTGCCTATCTAAAAGAATCAGAAAGGGGGAAAAGTTTATAGGAGTGAGTTAGGGAGCTTAGTGTGTTCCAACAAGTGCAGAATAAAACAATAGGATAAATTTCAAATATGATTTCATAGTCATAGTATAAAAGTGACAATGTAGTTTTTTTTTAATCTAAAACACAGAGTTACCCTTCAACCCTTCAACCTATGTCCATTGGACCTATGAGCCAACCTAAAAGAACACCTTGGGTCTATAAGGACTTATCCTAGTTGAAGCATAGGAGCCACATGAGGGGTTTACCTCATGTTCATAAGGACTACCCTATGCACAAAGCAAAGAGCCATCCTAAAGGAGTCCTTATGATCAACAAGGTCTTACCACTAGGCTCATTGGACCTAGAAACCTATACAAGGGTCGCCTTAGATCCATAAAGAATTATAAGCATGATCGGAAGTAAACTTGTAGAACTCCATATCACATCCCAAAAGTACCCAAAGTAAAACAATTTCAGACAGTTCTAGTAAAATCAGTAAATCATAAATCAGAATATTTTTTAGTAAATATAAAAAATCAGAGAACATGTATCAGACATACATGAATCTAAAATTAATAAAGCAGAGATCATGCTTTTAAGAAATTATTAAAACAAAATCAGGCTTTTAGTTAGATAAATCATTTGGAAAACAAATTAGATAAATCAGTCACATTACAAAATAGATAAAGCAATAATGTACACATGATAATTCAGACAGTTAGTTAAAATAGGTATATATCATACAAAGGAACACACCTTACAAAAGAGGTCGGTCCAAAAGATCTACTGAGTATTCATTTTACTACAATCTATAACGGTGTTCGAACCTATTCCATATCAAAACAAAGTTACTACAGGAATAATATTCTAAATGGATTATTCGTAAGGGTTACGAGCCGTACAAGTAATCACGACTCACGCAAATGAGCAGATCTAGAGGAACAACCTTGATTTCGAGCTTCCAGCCTTTCTCTCATGAACCCATATTATTTCTATCATAAACTTGAACCGAATAACTTCCCTCGCCATAAAATATAATTTATTAGAATCTAAATAATAATTTGGGGACCCAATTGGTATAAATAAAGACTGGTGGTACCACTATAATATTTAAATACTATAAACAGGGACTAAATTGATCTTATTGAAATCATTATTCCATAATTATAACCATTATTCCATATTATTGATCTTATTTAAACCATTATTCCAATCTTTAACAAACTCAGTTAATCTTGACTAAACCAATACCAACAAATTACATTCTATTATATTCTATTTCTAACACTTAAGCACTCTTCAACGAGTGTTCTACAAATGGAACAAGAAACCTTGCCAGCTGACGATCAAAATGACGATGAACACCACGTCGGTTACCGTTTTAGGTCATCGTTCGAGTCCCAAAATGCATCACCCAAACTGCCTCGTGCCTCTCTACACAGATATGACCTCCGATTATCGAGAACGGTCCTAAACTTCCGAAAACTTTTCGGTTTCCTCGAAGAAAAAGTCTCTCGTTTGCCGTCGTGAACCGTCCAATGGAACCATCCCCACAGCAGGATGTTCCACACCTGCTCACCGTGCTTCTGACCGTCAGGATCTCCCAACTAGAACCTCCGACGCCGGGAACAAACCCCCAATCGATTCTTACTGACGTTCCCCTTGTTTTCAATGTTATTATTTCATTTTGTTGCTCTTGGATTGATATACTATGGTTGCTAACGGTGGTTTCGCAAGTGATGAAACGGCACTACGAGTGAAGCTCATATCATCGGTCGTTGGTATTGTTGGAGCTTGACTAAACTTTGTGGTGGTTTTCATCGTTAGTTTCTGTAGAAAGACTAATTTGTTGTCTTTTTGGTTCGTCGGGATAGTTAGGATTAGAAAATCGATTGGATTCGGTTTACTGCGTCGAGGTCGGAATGTTTATGGGTCGGGTTATGTCTTAGTGCTGGTCGGTTCACTAATCCAATGAATCACTATGTTCTCTGGTTTGGGTCATCGATGTTGGGGCTCGGGCTGCAATACTTGGGTGTTGCCGATTTGTTCCCTCTGTGGTTCCTAATTTTCCAGATAAAAAAATAAATCTCATCAAACTAACTACAGTTTACGTCAATTTTAAAGTCTCTTAAAACCAAAGAAGGGATATTTGCAAATAAAGTCCTTGATTCTTCTTCAGTTTTTTTTTGGCGAACCCAATATTTTAATTAATATGCTACTTTAAAGTCCATATTTAAACAAAAAAAATTTAACCCCCAATTTAGGGTGTGATATGTCGTGTAAACTTTTTTTATTAAACACAACCTGAAAAAATCTGAAAGAATAAAAATTATTCTCTAGTTTTCGATGATATACGCAAACATTTGTGCAGTTATGCTGTTGTAGTTGATCATCTAATTATTGTATCATTGAAGATAGACGACCGACAATCTCAAACATCAAGAAGTAACCAAAAAATATCTTAAAAAACTACAAGTTACAAGCCTCAACTCATTTGTTTTGTCGAAAATCAAATATTTATTTTTATATTGTTCTGTTTCAATTATTTAATTTAATTTTCTCATTACTTCATCGTCTCAGATTGTTTTATTTGTAACAATAATCTAACCCATTAGGTCTTATCTTGTAATGCAGCATTCTAATTTGACTTTTAAGGTCTGAATTGTAAAAATGATGATGTTATGAATTATTCTATTCATAGTTGATTAATTAAATTATCCTTTAAAAAAACAAATTGCTTTTCTAATTGATAACACTTAGTTAAAGCATAATCATGCAAATGTGATTGACTTGCAATAAATTTAAAATACACTATTAAATAAAGTACTCTTTGTGTCATTTTCTTCCCTTCTGACTTGTATTCCGCGAATCACATGCAGCTGCTAGTTTTATAGTATAAACTTAGCACAAAGATTCAGCAGAAACCAACCGGAAAAAACAATGCGAGACGCTCTACAACTTCCCGTCGTTGACTTATCCTCACCGGATCGCTTCTCCACCGCCGACTCCATCCGTCAGGTTATCTTTTAATTTCCACTTTAGCCTTTTGCGTTTGCTAGTATTCAATCCAAAGGTAGTTCAAGTTTTGGTCTTTTGTTGTAAGAAAGTCACTGGTTTTAGAAGCAAAAACGCTTCCCACGCTGTAACTCTTTCCAACTGCAATAAAATCTGCTTTTAAACTGATGAATTTTTGTACAGGCGTGCATTGAGCATGGTTTCTTTTACCTTGTGAATCATGGGGTTGATGAAGAACTGGTTAAGAAAGTTTTTGAGCAGAGTAGCAACTTCTTTTCACTCCCAGTTGAAGACAAGATGAAGTTGGTTCAAAGGAATTACAGAGGTTATGTTGGACTTAATACTCTAAAACTTGATCCTTCAAGTGCCAAAGGTAGTTTTATTTATCTAAATTGATTAAACATCTCCCTTTTCTTTTTTTACTGTTTCATATTTTAAGGCCTCATATTGATCACTTTGGACTGCATGATAAAACAGCTGACTCTAGAGAAGGCTTCTATATTGGTCCACTAGCTGATGACCTCAATCAATGGCCTTTAGAAGGTACTTACGCAAAACATCTTTTAGTAGTTGTCTCAAATTTCTTCATTCATTCTTCGTTTGCATCTTTCTTTCTGACTTTGTGTAAATAGTTCCAAGTCTAATTGAGTTCTAATTAGATGTTCTTTTGGCTTGGTAGAAGATCTGCCGTCTTGGAGAAGCACAATGGAGACTTATTTTCATAAACTGCTGTGAGTCCCTACTGTTACTCCACGTATTGATTTACAGATGAGAGAACAGAAGAACAAATTATGCTATATTTGTTTCCTCAGGTCTGTTGGTACTAAATTACTCTCCTTAATTGCACTATCCCTGGAATTAGATGAAGATTTCTTTGAAAAACTGGGTGCACTTAATGATCCATTGGCGATTATTGGTTTATTATATTATCCAGGTATGGTACCAGTAATTTGCTTTATATTTGTTGAAGCCATAAAACCTTAAGCATATAACGGAATGCCTTTTAATTTTGATGTTAGGGGACTTGGATTCTTCCGGTGAAGAAATATATGGTGCTTCTGCTCATTCAGATTATGGAATGATCACTCTTTTGATGACTGATGGTGTTCCAGGGCTTCAGGTGTATTCCTTGTTGTTAGAGTTTGACTCGAATTCAATGTGATGTAAATGATGTATTTCGAGCTTCGACCCAGTATTTGTTTTGACTTTGTGAAAGCAGATTTGCAGGGAGAAAACCCAGAAACCACAAGTTTGGGAGGATGTGCCAAGCATGAGTGGGTGAGTACTAGTGATGGTAGATTGCACGTGTAAGTAATCACTGAAACAAAAGTACTGAACATTGTATTTGAGACTGTAGGGCGTTCATTGTTAACATCGGGGACGTGATGGAGAGGTGGACCAACTGTTTGTTTAGGTAAATCCCAGTTGCCTGTTACTATAAATAGGTCTTCCCTTTGAGAATTTGTAAAACAATAGTTCACCCTTTCACGCAGATCAGCAATGCATAGAGTGCTGCCACCAGGACAAGAACGCTACTCCGTAATGACTCACCCTTTCATGTTAACTTCTATTGTCATTGCTTATGCTCTTTCAACCTCTGTAATCTTCATATCGAGTCGGTATTCCTCACTCTTCGATTTCAGGTGGCTTTCTTTGCGAACCCCAACAAAGACTGCCTCATCGAATGTTTTGAAAGCTGTTGCAGTGAGTCTTGTCCCCCAAGGTATTGATTATAGATGGTTCTTCCAATGTTATGGTTTGACTATAGCTAAACAGCCTATCAAATAGAACCTTGATCAATTCAGCTCATTAGTATTTATGAGCACATCCTAATTGAAATCTAATAAGGATGCATTACAAATTCGACATATGTTTATCATGGGGGAGAGTGGTAACATGTTTTCATTCTTACATGCAGGTTTCCACCCATAAAGTACTTGGACTTCATGCAAGAGCGCCTTAGAGTTTCATTTGACTTGTAGTTCAAGTTATGCATCCTTTTCACGTATTGTATTCCAAACTCATTTCTTCTAAAGAGTTGCAAATATTGAAATCAACATGTTCACAGTGTGCAGACGACTGTAAAGATACAGTAATATGTAATAAACAGACCAATGACAGTGAAAAAAAAAGAAGAAACAGTACCAGAACATATCTAGTTTGCTTGTTTTATGTATATGTTTTCGTATCAAGGTCATTTCAATTTGATTTGACTTGCTTATGAATCGGTAAAAAGTGATTTGATTTTAACAATCTTGGGAGTGTTTTTGCTATCTAAAATGAAATAATGAAAATAAATTTATATTACGGCGTTTTTTCTGATATGTCACCTTTTTCATTTAATTTTCTCTGTCAGACATCCTTCAGATTATTTTTCTCGATATAACACCCTTTGCAGTAAGGTGCGTTCCCTACAGTGCGCTTTACGCTGATCTGGCGCCACGTGTGTAAAGCGCGACCCCTGGGGCGTGCCTTACGCCACGTAGGGTAATAGCGTGGGGGCAGGGGCCGCGCCTGACCTTTAATTCAATTATATATAACGCGGGGAAGGAGCCGCGCCTTAGCTTTAACTGATACAATTATATAAGGCGCGGTGCAGGTACCGCGCCTTGTATAATTATAGCAACTTTTCTCGGCTATAAATACCCTTTTCCCCCGGTAAACTCTTCACATCTCCCCTCTCAACTTATAAATTAAAACAATTCCCTCAACGAGTCAATAATTCCGGCAATCTTCTCATATTTGATTTAGAAGTTCGTGAGATTTTTTGTTATAAGGTAATTTTGTTATAATTTTTTTATTATACTTATTATTTATTATGATTATTTGAAAAAATATTATACTAATTTTTATATTTTCGTTCATATATTATTCATTTAATCAAGTTTGTTTCAGTTGTTTTTTTCCCAAATATAATATTGTCTCACTTTTAAACTCAAAGAATGACGCGACTTTCAGCTATTGTTTATTATGATGGTGAAATTCGAGAAGATGAAACCGGCGTTGTTTTTGTATCAAATGAGCGTGTTAAAATATCATTTAAGAGAAACATAACTCTTGAGGAGCTGATAACGAAGATTTCGATGAAGGTTCATGTTAGAAGTAGTAGAAGAATGTCGTCGTTGCAGTACAGATTTCCAACATCATTGTTGCAATTAACTTATACAACGTTTGAACTTTCGAACAATGATGATGTTGAAGTGATGGTTGAATCTCAAAGTAATTATTCAAACGCCGATATTGAGATGTATGCAACTATTGTTTAAGTGTGTGCTGCTCGGGGTCAGTCATTAAGCTCCCACTATGGGCTGGCTGAACAAGTTGACAGCCCGACGACAGTAATGTGTAATGATTTTAATGCCATAATGGGGAGACATTCATCCGCAACTCCTTACGATATGTACCGAGGTGGGTCAACGAACAATCCGTATAGCAACATCGCGTCCAGTTCAAGGGGAAGACATTCATCTGCAAATCCCTTTGACCTTAATAAGGAGATGCCATCGACGCAACAATCTGTGAACTATCCATTTGACATGCTGGCTTCAAGCTCCAGGGCGAGGCATTCGACTGTGAGCTTTTTCGATCTCAATGTCGATATGCCTTCTAGTTCAAGGGGAAGGCGTGCAAGTAGTAGGTTCTTCGACCTAAATATGGAGAACATGGAGGAATCATCATCTCCACCAGAAGAACCGCATCGTGAGCCTGGTGCTGAGACTGGACTATTCATTCACCCAGAATCACCACAATTCAACTCCGATGATGATGATGTAGATGAAGTTCCAGGAAATGTGGCACAAACTGACCCTCCTGCACACATGTATGGAGCTGATTATGGTGCAATATACGAGTTAGAATTTGCGGATATGCCTCATCTCGGTGACTATGGATATTACTCATCAATAAATAATGGTGAGTTATCTTTAGGCATGGAGTTTTCAAGCAAAGAAGAAGCGATGATGGCTATAAAAAATTACAATATCCGTAATTTTGTTAAGTCCAGAGTTGATCGCTCCACGAACAAAAAAATATGTATGCTACTGTGCCCGACGCGAAAACGAATGCAATTGGATGGTTCGCGTATCGAAGAGGAAGAGGAAAAACAACAGATGAGAACTAACAGTATACAACGGTCCTCACACATGTTGTGCTGGAGGGGTCAACCAAGATCATCCCAACTTGGACTCTGAAGTGATATGCCAAGCCATCATGACCATGGTAAAAACAAGCTCTCATATAGTTGTTGCAGTGTTGATTTCAGCTATACAATCGCAGTATGAGTACATTGTCTCCTATAAAAAAGCTTGGTTGGCAAAACAAAATGCCATTGTCAAACTTCATGGCGAATGGGATGCATCTTACAACGAATTTCTAGGTTGGTTTAGGCTGGTGCGGACGTTGAATCCTGGGACAATTGTGGACTTCGAAACCTCGTATGCATACCATAATGATCGAGTTCTACGCGATCGATGCCAATTCTACCGGGTTTTTTGGACTTACCCACAGTGCGTTAATGTTGTCAAATACTGTAAGCCTATGGTCCAGATCGATGAGACTTTCTTGTATGGAAAATACAAGCAAGTTTTATTATTGGCAGTTGTCCAAGATGGCAATCACAACATTCTTCCAGTTGCTTTTGCTCTTTTCGAAGGAGAAGATACAGATTCTTGGGCTTTTTTCCTCAGAAACTTACGTGCACATGTTATCACGAGGGAAAAAATATGTGTCATTTAGATTACGGAGCTGGAATCAAAGAAACAATGGAGTCTTTGAGTGTAATGTGGCAACCACCCTTTGTCCAACATATGTATTATCTCCAACACATTGCTACAAACTACAATGGAAGGTACAAGAAGAATGATGAGCGTCAATTAATTGTGTGCATGGGTAAGTGAAACTGATGTAGTTTGTTTTCTTTCGATCATTTTATTTTTGCAAAGAAAGCAAGTTAGTAAGTTATACATTTTTTGATCAGGTTACGAACTACTTCCTCGAACATTTGAATCAATGCTTCAGGATTTGCGGGCGAAGAACAAGGAAGGATACGATTACATCAGCCTTATCAAAAACGAAATGTGGACGAACGCATATAATGGTCGATATCGATATGGACACATGACAGCCAACTTGGCTGAGGCAATCAATTCAACCTTAAAGGTTGCACGTCACTTACCTGTAGCGGCTTTGGTAAAAACTATATATTTTCGTTTGGGGGTGTTTTTTGCGAAGCTCGGGGGACAAGCTCAAACCTGGCGTTAATGTTAATGTCATTCGATAACCGCTGATGAACAGTAAAAAAAATGATACAAGAAAACGAGATTGAACGTTAGCATTATATGTGATTATAATAAAAGATATAATAAGTGACAAATTGAAGAAAGTTTGAGAACACAATTATTAAATTTTATAAAACTAATAACAATTTGATATTTGAACATAATTTTAAATACAACAAACTTACAAAAAGTATTAAATGGTAAATGGTAACCAAATAACAATAACTGATATTAAATGTTAATAAACAAAATTAACCAAAATATATTAACAAAATTGTATAACAAATTTAACAAAATAAATTAAAATAAATCCAACCACATTAACAAAAAAAAGTAAGTATTAAATGATAAATAATTAAAAAATTACAATAAAAAGTCCAATAAACAACTAAATAAAAATATAAAAAAAACAAAATCTATCGATACCTGCGATGCGAATGTGTTTCGCAGGGCAGTGGTTGTCGGTCTCGAGGAGGATTTCTTCGTATCAGTGGTTGTGACTCCTCGCTGTCATCATCATCACCATCATCGTCGTCATCATCGTCGTCATCGTGAGCAGTTACATTAGGTTGATGAGGAGCTGATGACGATGAAGTACCTCCATAAAATAAGGACCCTGGAGGTATATGACTGACTATCCCACCGGCCTGCGAAAACTGGGAAAACTCATAAAACCCAAACATCGCTGAGTATGAAAACTGTACAGGAGGTGTCTATGTTGCAGCCATGGGTGATGAGGCTGAACCCACCAAAATATGGGCATATGAACCTCAAGTCGGATCTGCAAACATAAACCCATAATATCCTCCAGGAGGGGTCATAAAACTCTATGACGGTGGCGGCGACAGGGTCATAAAACTAGGTGATAGTGGCGGCGGGGACATCGGGTAAGGGAACATCAATGGTGGCATCACATATGGTTGCAGAAGGTAAGTTGCTATAGACGGTTGCTGCTGTGAAGGTCCTACAGTTGAGGATGAACCGGAAGCACCTGCTCTCCGTCCACGAGTCGGGGGACGATGGTACTGTGTCGGTGAATGTCTCTGTCGACGTTGTAGAAAGGTCCGCCCTCATGCATCCTCGGAAAGCAGAAACGGTTTCCCGTTACTGTTGAACCACTCTTAATAACCGTCAACAACCATCAAGAAGTCAGTAAAAATGGGCTCTCTACGGGGAAGACGCCGATGTCGATCCTCCCACAGCACGACCTACTCGTGATGCCTCACCAGCCAATCTGTATCAGTCTTGCTGCGTCTATCTGTGCTATGCAACTCTTCCATATTACGAGGTGCTTTCGGAATTGCTTGAAAACAACCAAATTGCCGGAGCACGCGATCAGTGGAGTGCCACTCGACGATCGCATAACAGATCAAAGGGACCATCGCCATCTAAACATCTAATAAGCCCCTCAACTCAGGTGGGATCACCATCCTCACATCATCATTAGAATATGGCACCCATTCAAACTAAAACAAATATATATAATTTTTTATCAAAATAATAATCTAATTATACAACTATAATCTAAATTCAATTTTTAAACATTAAAAGGCATACCTGTGTGCCAGCCTTCTAATCGATCAGCACCCTAATCTTTTCTGAATCATTAGGTAGCTCCTGATGATTTTTCCTAACAGTAGACCACCTATTCAAGGGAAAAAAATTATTATACACTGTATAAAATGATTAATATACGAAATCAGTTTTATAATTACCTCAATAGTAGTGGAAATACGAATAGGTTCTTGACAACGGGATATAGAAAGGGTAATCGATACCACACCTAAGACTGCAGCAGCAGGAGACATCCGCCGATATCATTTTTTCTGTAGTCAATCGCACGACACATCTCCCTATACAGGAAAG